TCCAGTGATTCCCAAAGTGGATCTTTTTCTCACCCTATCCTATATTTATAGTAATAAAATGCCAATACCAATAAAAGTTTTATCTATTTTTGACGTTTTGGAACTATGTTAGTTCCATCTTTAGGACATCTGACCAGAAACATAATCTTGATTAGAGATTAACACATCAAAACTATATATGTACTTAAAAAATTAGTGGATCTATTATTAGAAAAATAAAAATGATGATAATAAGATTATATATTATATAACAAAATATTAAAATTATATCTAAAATTCTTTCTACAAAAAGGAAATTAAGAAAAAAAACATAATTTTCTACCTGCATGAATAATTTTGTTCACTAACATTAAATCTTTTACTTCAATTTCAATACTGGCGTAGAACTGACGTGCATATTCTGTGGTTTGCAATGATTGTTCCTTCCGATACATCTCACAATATATATACAAGAATATGAGATACTATGAGCTTATTATTAGTGTTGTTTGCCATAAACAGAGAAACTTTAAAAGTACCTTTGTTCAACACACGAAAATTCCATTCACTTATTTACAATCCAAAAATCTTATACCCTAAAGGCGGGATTGGAAATAGTTTTTTTGTGATAAATTGTTTTAAACATTACAAAAAGTGCTTGTATAATTTTATATATTGATATTTTACTTTATTTATTATTTTAATATTATTTTTATGTGATTAAATGCAAAAAAAATTGAATTACAAAATATGTTGGCATTAGCATAGTCTAGGGATTATTAGGGTCAAAGGGAATAGTAGCCTCGGGATTATTACGATCAAAGGAAATATTCACCTAGTAGGTACAGTAATACCCCACTTAACACTGTTTCATTCAGCGCTGTTTCGGTTTAGCGCTCTTTTAGTTCAACCCTTTCTAATGATGAGCTCTAAAAAATAAATATAGAAATAAAAATGTTGACGGCACTGATTCAGAGGAAGAGCAAAAAGAACTTTCGATGGCGTTTGTAAAAACGAGTTTGTTTACCATAACTGGAATGATGTATCAATTCATTGAAAATGATCTGAATTTTGGTAGGAGCTCAAAAGTAAGACATGGTGCTAGAGATGCTCTATTCATTTATGAAGAAATTTTAAGAGAACAACCCAAGAGGGAAAGGCAAACAACATTAGATGCTTTTGTCACAAAAATGCATAACACTGAAAACGCGAAAGTCTAACTAAATATGAGTATGTTTTTTCAAGAATATTCGTTTTGTTATTTATATTTTGTTTTTAGTTTTGAAGGAAATAATAATGTGGTATTAATTTGGGCCTTAAGAAATAAATGTTTGGTTTTATTTATATTAAAAAACATACTTTTTAAATTTAATACTTAAGCAATTTCCCAGCCGTCTTTCCTTAACCCCAATATTTCCATGTGAAGATAGCCTCGTTTAGCGCTGTTTCGCATTACGCTCTACTTTGATAAAACGTATTTCCCGCGTGGTATTAGTGTACTAAAATTTTGAAATAATACTGATCGTAACAATTATCAATAAATGTATTGCATTCATTTTTAATTTGAATAAGTTTGCAATTTGTTTAACATTGTTGAAATATGCATTTAATGCTTGAGCGTACTAAACGTAGCGTAGTTAAAAAAAAATTATTACATATAGTCCTTGTAATTATTAAGATGTTTTCAATTAGCAGCACTTGATCTATTACAGTAATTCTAGTTTTTCTCATCATGATGGATTATTCTTAATACCTCGCATTTCAACGTGATACATAACAATGGCTTTGCTCGTGGTATTTGCATGTCAAATATATTCGTTTGGGCTTATCTGTTGTTAACGCATCATTAAATTCATCAAAGCACCGTAGTAAAACACAAATATCGGGTGTCTTGTTAAAGCTATACGTTAAATATACATAGTAGGAAATTTACTGATCTGATAATAGAGTTCGGACACAAAAGATTCTCATGTAGAGTATCGAGTTCTTTTCGAATAAGGATGGGTTATTAGAATGATATTTTTTAATTGAACATCACGACATAAGAAAAGTGCTGATTTTTTGTGTAAAAGATATTGTGGTATTATACTTTGTTTAAAACAATGGACATGTGAGCAGTGCTGGGTTTAATAATTATAGACATTATTAGAAATATGATTTTTCAGTGCTTATATATTATACATAAATAAACCCTGTAAATTAAATTATACTCTAAATAAATTTTATGAAACTATCATAGTTAATTTTATTTGTTTAATTTCACTATTCATTTCACAACGACAATAACAACACTCATTTTTAGCTAAGGTGATAATTTGAGATATAAACTTGACCTTCTTCTATCTATTAAAATATATGATTAAAATTAATTTATCTAAGCCAGACGAATTGTCTGGTTTAAGAGATCACAGTGAACATTTTTTATTCAGTACTATCCGGTATTTTAGTTTATAATACTTCATTCTCTAATCTATTCAACAATTTTTATGTATAAAAATATAACCGCATACACATACCCGCACACATACACATGCAAATATTTACCATCAATACGTTTCTATATGAAAATAAAATTAATTTAGTTCATGTATAATATATTTTTCAATGTAATTTTGAATTTAGTTAAATCTATGACTAATTAGAGCTTGTTTTAAAGACGATTTGTGCTTGTCAGCAAACTCACTTGACTGTTTTTTAACGAGCTTTAAACGTGAAAATTTGGTTTTTGTCTAGTTTCATGGTCCCGAATGTCCTAGTTTGTTTCAATTTTGGTACATATTTTGATTTCATTATCATCTTTATATACAATAATACATTTCTCCATTTTTGTCATTTTATGTAGTCATAAGTTGTTTTTTCCTTTAATAGTTCTTGGGGCGATATGAGGGCAAATATATGTTGTGTTTATAGCCCTATTACTATAGTTTAAAAGCATTTATCAAAGCATCGAATTATCAGTAATCCAATTTATTGATATTTAACCCGACAAAATTGCATGACCAGCATTTTGACTTCTAAAATTGTGTTCAACCATTTTGTTTAGAATTTGTATCAGTATTAGTGTTAATTCTTGATGTCAGTATATTATGTTTTATTGTTTTACATTATCTTACAAATGAAAAAGGAGTTTATAAAAATTTGTAAAAAATCTATGAAAGTTGCCTTTGCTCGCACTTTTACATGTCCAACGCATAAAATGTTTTTTGGAATTGACGTAGCCCCAAGCTTTTCTTCGGATGAGTTAAGACACTTAAGGGAGCTATTACTTAGTCCCTTCGACTACAAATGGCAGATATAATATTATATATTGGACAATTCAATTTGAGTATACTATAAATAGATTTATTATGAAAGAAGTTGTTTTCTGAATAATTTTTGAATAATTTTACATGAAAATTATATGAATATGCATACCCCGATTTTGAAGTGAGATAATAATTTATAGTTTAATTTTTTTATTAGCGAAATTATAATTTTTTTATCCATATCCTAGTTCAATAACAAGTGGCCATCTATATTTTTTGGGATCATGTACATGAATTTTAGTAGAATTTTGTATATATAATATAATCCAAGTCTTATCCGTTGCGTACGTATTGGCATTACCTTTCTCAAATAATTGCTGATGTTCTTATCAAATATTATTCGTTACATTATAAATATACTTGGTAATTGTGGCAGCAATTCATTTTTTCATTAAAATTAGGGAAGTTTACACAAAAGTCCAATTTGACTTTCATTTTGACCTGATAGATTAGTGGTTAAGGTGCGTGAGACAATAGATATAGAGCGTAAGGTAAAAATAAATAGTAGGAATAAATAGTAGAAAGTAAGGTTTATAACTAGTAAAAGGGCATATAGGGTGTATGGGTATTTATATATATTTATTTAATAAACAAATAATTATCTAGTGATAATAGATTATTTGTAAGAATAAGAATTGATGGTATAGGTTTCTCACGGTATGATAGGTAATAGTTAGATTATCTATGATATATAATAGTATGGTATAGTATAATATTATGATAGATAATAGTACGATTATTATTTCATAACGTATTGTAAAAAATCTTGAGTACTTTTATATGAAAATGAATATTTGTAGGTGTTAATAAATATAATTAATAACAAAATTAATATGATTAATCTTATTAATTGACATAAATTATGTACTCAGTTCCTTACAATACTTGTACAATTCAATGTATAGACTAGTTGTATATAATGGAGTTAATCAATTAGGAATTATTATATTAGTTTACGTGTAATCAGCACTAGTTCTTTTCGAAATACATCGAATGCCTTTTAAACTTCTGAAAACCGTGCAGCCGCTTTTGAGAAAATATCCAAGAAATGTCAAGAAACGTCCGGAAATTTTAAAATTAGCAGCTCATATTTTCTGAACTCTTCTTCGAAAAGTTAGAAAAAAGAAATAGATCTAATTGAATGTAGAAAAATCAGTAATAAAATTAATTTGAATTTTAATTTTTATAACATGTTTTACTTAAAAAGATTTGATCACAATTATATAGTGATTTCTAAAGGTCTTTGTTTTATGTTTAGAAACAAAATGATTTTTAAAGGTCTAAAAGGTTTTTGCAATTTGCAACGTTTAACGTTAAGGTGGGACGTGACCCATAAAAGGTTGGGAAACGCTGTTATAGCATGTCACATGGCGGAAGTGATGTCTTAGGATATCTCGCCAATAGTCTCAAATACATGAAGTAATTAATATATTTTTTATGGAATGTTATTTTAGAACAATATGTTATCTATCATTGTCTATATTACATTTTGATGGCAATCGACTCAATAAGATATATATTGTTTCTTTTAAATTTGCTCATGAGAATTGTTTAAATTTCAAAACAAAATATAAATAATACTGAATACTATTATGAAATTATAATACTATGCTTACTAAATAATAATATTAATAATAATAATAATAGTGAATTAATAGTTTCTAAGTGTTCATAGATGTATATTTTTATTTACCAGATTATCATTTCCTGTTTCAGGCAATCGCAAAGGATGGTATAGTACCATTCTTGTCGCCATTTGCCGTCTCATCCGAGAGAGGAGAACCAACCCGAGCTTTGATTTTGACAATTTGCATTTGCCAATGCGGAATTCTATTGGGAAACGTCGATCTGTTGGCTCCCTTATTATCCATGTTCTTCTTGATGTGCTACGGATTCGTCAACTTGGCTTGCGCCGTTCAGACTCTGCTCAGGACACCCAACTGGCGCCCACGATTCAAGTTTTATCACTGGTAAAAGAAACTTTAAAAAATAAGATAGAAGAACTCATAGTGGTATATAATATTAAGATATACTACTATGTATTAATAGGAGTATATCATATTTGATTATTTATAGTAGTATTCAAAATCAAATATTACATAACAGATTAATGAGTACCTACTGATAGTAGGAATAAAAAGGGCATTTGCTTTGATGGTTTTGTTCGTTTGAATTTTTTCAATTTATAAATGATACTTATGAAGCTTAAATTATTTTTACATTTGCTTAATATTATTATTTCAATGTTTATTACCAGCTAGTATCTATTAAAGAGATCTCCGATTCGATATTTTTAGAATCAGCGTTCAACGAAAGCATCACCTTACAGTGTCCATATACTCCAGATGTCCCGGCAAAAGTCGATTAGCCATATGAAATATTGCTAAAAAAAATTAGTATAAAAAATAACTAACTGATTGCAATTGTGGAAGTATGTGCTATATAAATGAAAGGGACATCTGCCACAATTAATATGAATAGTTTACCCGCTGCAAAGCATGCCACATATAAATCTTTATGAATAATAATGATAGTCATTGCAAGTTTCAACTGATTTTATTTAAATTGAATTAGCATATTTAGATCTTCAAGGTTTTGATATATTATTACCGAGCAATTATTTCATTATTTCATTATTTTTTTAATTTCGAAGCAAAATCCGAACATTTATTTTTGAATTATGTTGAGGCATGCTTATGTAATCGAGTGAGATTTCAAAAACTTTGTGGATAAATTTACAGACATGTCATAGGTTTGTAGGGTACCTATTTTGATCCCTCTCAAATTTCAATATTCATATTGTTCACTTCCGCATTAAAAAAAAAATGATACCAATGTTTTAAAAAAAAGTGTTAGTATTGGACAATCTTTAACTAGAAATAAGTTTCTTTGAAGTTGCATTTAACTATAATTTTAATCGAAATTCAGTGAAAAACATTCATTGACTTATCACGAAGTAGTAGTGTGTGGTAGGAGGATGAATCTTCAGAGCTGTGTTTGTTTTTAATTATAATTTGAATAAAATAAAAGATATTGGCTTGAAAAAATTAAAAAAATAAATGGTGTTCTACTCTGTCATCCTGAACGTGATTATAATTTTTTTTCAAAAGTTGGTCAAATCGTTTCGGAGGTGTATTGCAACGAACAACATGACATGAGAAATATATATATATAAATATATATATATATATATATATATAATTAAAACTATTTAATTACGAAATACAAACAATATCGTCGTTATATGAGCTACTGAAAACTTATTGTTTGATCGCGAAGCAAACTTTGCTAAAATCGATAGCGTTAATAACTTTATGAAATAGATAGTGGATTACAGAGATTTAATTGAATTTTTTCATTAAAAATTATACATGAGTTTTAACAATTTCATTGCTTTACAGGTCTTTGTCATTGATTGGTTTAACCCTCTGCATCGCTATTATGTTCATGACCAGCTGGTACTTTGCACTTTTGGCAATGGGAATGGCTGTCCTTATCTATAAATATATTGAATATCGGGGGTAAGTAAATTAAAATGATTGAAAATTGCTTTTGAATAATTAAAACTAACTTTTATTTTTTGTTCTTATTCTTACAGAGCTGAGAAAGAATGGGGAGATGGAATCAGTGGTTTGGCGTTATCTGCTGCTAGATTTTCCTTGCTGAGGTTGGAAGAAGGGCCACCGCACACCAAAAATTGGAGACCACAAATTTTGATTTTGGCCAAATTGACTCCCGAACTTGTTCCGAAGTACAGAAAATTATTTGCGTTTGCTGCTCAACTTAAAGCTGGTTAGTTTTTCTATATGAATCAGATCATTTTTGCAAAACTGGAGTAGACAATTAATATTACGAATTTATCATTTAATTAAATTTATTTATTTTTTTATTTATATATCCTATATTAGCATATACACGTTTAAATAAATTAAGTTATTATATTATAATAATTGAATTATAAAATTTTGCACAAGAAATATTTTATAATTATTATATATTATCTATGATATTTAAGGCATCTTTCGCATCCTTAATTTATGCCATTCAAGTGTTACTGCTTATTCGACATATTATTTAGAAATGTTCTTAGGTTTTGTTTAGTTAAAAATTATAGATATTATCATTTATATGAATATCAATTTTTATGTTGCCTTTACAGATTTCGATAATAAATTTATTTAAATTTTCAATACAAAATTTAAATACAGTAACATTTAGTTTACATTATTTATAAATGAATTTTATTGTTTTGAGATGACCAGCGACCCAACCAACAACTCTTTTTAATCAAGATAGCGTGTTATGAGACACAGATACAATATGTCTCAAATACGGAATGCCAAAAAACGGCAATTTGTTTTAAATATATTGTCAATATTTTTTAGGTAAGGGTCTTACTGTCTGCGTGTCCGTCGTAAGAGGACAATATACTCGACGATCGGGAGAAGCTCTGAACGCCCGTAATGCTTTGCGCCGCATGATGGACGAGGAAAGGGTCAAAGGCTTCGTAGACGTATTAGTTGCTGAAGACGTTGCAGAAGGGCTTAGTCATCTGTTAGTGATAAAATTATGTTATTTTTTATCGTAGATTTTCATTGTTCAACATATTGGAAAATCTCCTCGTTTTTCTTCATATCCCTTCAACACGAAAAGCCAAGTCAAATCTAGTAGATGTAGAGAAGTAGTTTTTTTTTACTTTTATTTGTTTGTTGTTATGTTTGATTAATTACAATGTTTTCATGTATGTATGATAATATTCGAAATATTTATGGTTTTATAGTTTAAGAAATTCAGCTTTACTGCACCAAGACCCTGTGTAAAATAACAACGTGATATACGATATACTCGTATGAAACAATAAATTTTATAGTGTGCAGGGCCGGTCCTACCTTGAATGCGATGCATGCGAAAAACGCTGTCGCATGCTTAGGGGACGCCCACAAGAGTTTCAGATATGAAATTTTTAAAGTATAGTCTTTTATTTTATATATTTTTTAATATCATTCAAGAAATAGTATAATTTCTTTGCATCTTTTACTAAACTTTAGACAACTTTTGGACAAGTCTTATACACGATGGGAAAGTATAAAGATGAATACATACAATTCGGTCCTTACGATATCAGTTATTATGAGAAGTTTGAAATGCAATTTTGGATGTTTTAAATATTGAAAAATTAAATTCAAATAATCCAACATGCAGTACCATCAGTGTTATGTGAAAGGCTAGAATTTTTTTGCTCTCTATAATTTGCTCTATAGAATGTATAGCATAAAATCCCGAAAACAAATCGCTAGAAAAAATCAATTTTAATCAATTATAAATCAATTTGATACAAAGAATTCTATAAAAAATCAATTTAAAACCATAGCGCAATTCAATCAAAGTTTTTTATGGAAATAGCATGGAAAAATTTTCAAAAATTTTCAAAAATGTTAAAAATGTATTTTAGATGTAATTTAGTGAACAAATGAATGAATAAAACTCATTCATTTGTCACTAAGTTATATCTAAAACATGTTTTTTAAATTTTAAAAATGTTTTCCATGCTCTTTCCATACAAACTTTGATTGAATTGCGTTCTATCTAAACGTTAATATTAAGAGCTAAGACTTTCAGAGAATTGTTCTTTATCTATTTGGAACCAGTTGAGCCCTTGGGAGCAAGGAAATTCGAAAATGATCATTTTAAGGACCACCCTATATATATATATATATATATATATATATATATATATAATAGTGCCGAAAACTAGATGCCATAAAATTTTGATATTCATTTTAATTTATTATGAGTTTTATAATTTTATTAGTATAAAGATGTTTGTAAGCATATTGATACCATTTTATTTTTTCTTCTAGCGTACAAACGACTGGTCTTGGAGGAATGAAGCCAAATACCGTAATATTAGGTAAATAATATTAATTATCTACATGTTTTGTGATGGGTTTTTAATAACTATTAGTATTGAAATATAAGAAAACTAATTTATTTAAAAAATTATACTAATATGTATTTCTCTTGATATTACTTATAATGCATTTTGGTAATTCTAAAAAAATGTATAGAATTAAATAGGACACACCTTGTGTTATTGCCTTTAAATAGAACCTGCATGAGAAATGGATTATAAAAAAATAAAAAAATAGCAATAGCAGTAAATTAATTTTAATAATAAATCAGGCTGGCCTTTTTTTTCAATAATTATATTGCATGTTTTTTAATAACTTTGATTATTTGAAATGAAATATAATAAATATAATTCATCCAAAAAATTATACTAATAAATATTTTTCTTGATACTACTTATTATGCATTTTGATAAATCTAAATAATGTATAGAATGAAATGAAATAGGACACCTAGTGTAATTGTCTTTAAATACAACCTGCATAATAAATAGGTTATAAAAATATAAAAAATGTCAATAGTAAATAAATCTTAATAATAAATCAGGTTGGCCATATGGATGGCGACAGTCGGAGCATGAAGATCGCACATGGCGCGTGTTTCTGCAAACCGTCCGCCATGTAACCACATCACGTATGGCTTTATTGGTCCCAAAAGGCATCAACTTCTACCCTGACACCACTGAAAAGGTAAGTACGAAAAACCTTATTTAATTTATATAAATTAATATTATTGTATATTCAAATATTTGTTTAACTTTAAATACATATGTATGTATTTGTTAGTCAGTAATGTGTTATTTTCTATTTTTATTATATTTCAATAATAATTATTTCTTATAATTGCTGTAGGATTCATTTTATTTTTAATAGGATTAGATCATTTCGATTTTGATATTTATATAAATTAATATAATACTATTTGATTTGAATGTGAATTGAAATAATTGGAACTTTGATGTTGTGAAAATTGATCATCCTAGATAATAAATTAAATATAATGATTAGTCAATTTTGTTATTACTAATTACCATTTGGAATCATTAAGGATAAAATGATTAAATTCATATACCTATTCATTTTTTTCTACATCTTCAGATATATATATATATATAAACTATTTATTTACGAAATACAAACAATAATAACGCCGTTATATGAGCTACTGAAAATTTGTTCGATCAAGAAGCAAACTTTGCTAAAATCGATAGCGTTAATAACTTTTTGCAAAAGATAGTGGATTACAGGGATTTAATTGATTTTTTTTTTCAATAAAAATTATACATAAGTTTTAATGATTTCATTGCTTCACAGGTTTTTGTCATTGATTGGTTTAATCCTCTCATTGGTTTAATTATTTGTAATCATTAAGGATAAAATTATTAAACCGATGTATTTATACATTTTTTTCCACATTCTCAGATTGTCGGAAACATTGACGTGTGGTGGATCGTGCACGACGGAGGACTCTTGATGTTGCTGCCATTTTTGCTGAAACAGCACCGCACGTGGAAACAATGTAAGATGCGCATCTTTACCGTTGCCCAGATGGAAGATAATTCCATTCAGATGAAAAAAGATCTTAAAATGTTCTTATATCATCTTCGAATTGAGGCCGAAGTTGAAGTAGTTGAAATGGTGAGCTAATTTATTAAGTTTCTGTTATTATTTATATGCTTATCTGGGAAAATAATGAAATAGTATTTGATTTATATTTATCTTTTATCTAATGAATTAAAACGAGTTTAGATTGTAATTCACATTTTTTAAAATATAATAAAGATCGTAAAATCAATAAAATGTAGATAGAAACTGATTCGAATCAACTCGAATCGAGCTTGGGCTTAAGACAACGTGATAAAAATTTAGGATAAAAAGTGTTGAGTTTGACGAACATACTCGATATACTGAAGATTTTAAACATAAATTACTTGTATTTGCGTTACGTAATTATGAAATTTATTAAAACTCTCCTTCGACTGTTCAGGTTGATGGGTTATAATATAGCCTTGTAGCTGTGGACTTTATTAAACACTGATTTGTTGATATATTATGAATTTGTTGCAGTTCTTATTACAGTCACTGATTTTTTACTAAGTTTTAATGAAAAAAGATATATTTATATATTTATTGGTTATTTATATATGTTGTTAAGCGGACTTTTCTTTTAGAAGTGGACAATTAGTTCCTTTAAAACACTCCGCCATACCCTCTACCAGGGGTAGCAACCATCCCGTGCAAAAGCTCAATGCCATGAAGATTGTCACCTTCATGGCCAATATAATAAAACGAAAATAAGTCCGAACATTACTATTTAGAAAATAAATATAAAAATATTACAAAAATAATTAAAAATGATTTAATTTTGAAGAAAGTTGAAATATGTTTTTAAATTAAGTTATAATAACAGATAACCAAGCATATAGAACAATTATCAAAAAATTGGGTCTTTTGATAGCGTGTTCAATTTATTTATATAAACGGAGAGCTGAATGTAAAGTCGTTTGCTTAATATGACAAGTCAATTAGTCAAACTAGAACCCACAAATAGAATATCGAAAAAATTTAGTTCACTACCATACATATTGCTATTATATATTTCTAATTTGTTGTGATTATTTGCCATTATTAAAATTAAAGATAAATCATGCTCTGAGTCTATTGAATTATATGTAGTTTTTAAAACACTATTTTTATATTCATATTTATATTAATTGAAATTATTTATATATATATATATATATATATATTAAAATGTATGTTTATGCATTATATCTCAGTAAATATTTTTCGACTTGATTCGAATCAATTAAAATGCGATTCAAATCACTTGACTTGAGTTGGCTTATCACTATAATATTTACTATTTTGAAAATATTTAAAAAAAGCGTTATCTGTATATATTAGTGTGCAGGGATTAGTCTAGTATTTTTTTAATAATTTATTTGTTTATAAATTAGTTTTATTATCAATACAAATTTGAATTTCACCTAATGCATTAATGTTTCAACAGATGAATAGTGACATATCAGCATACACATATGAAAGAACGCTTATGATGGAACAAAGGAATCAAATGCTTCGCGAATTGCGATTGAACAAAAAAGAAAGCTTGGGAGTCGTAAGTTTACTTTTAATTTTATTCATAAAACTAATTTAATACATTTTGTATAAAATGTATTATTATAGTGGTCAGAAAAGTTTAAGTTACCATTTACTTGGCACATTTTTATTCATAGCTTTGTATCGCTACACCTTATTAAAAAAGCTTAAAGCCAGTATATTTATACCAAATGGCTATTAAATTTTTATGAACTTAGTATTAAACTAATACATGCACTTTATAATATTTATAACAGCGTTCAAGCATTGCAGCTTCTTATATTAATATACATAATATTTAGAAATTAAATTCAAGTATTTATAAAATCACACTTTTAACTGATCATGAGCTATAATTTAAAACATTTTAAAAATATTGTATACACCTATATATTTGAAGTGCCATCATTGATTTGAATTTTGCATTCAAAAATAATTTTTAAATTCATTCATGAACTGTAGATATACAATTTCAGAATTATTATTTAATTTTTCATATTCAATCTATAGACTGATTTCATTTTAAACAAAATACAAAAATTAACAATAGTAATGAAATATCACATGAATATTACTAATTGTTTATATTGTACAAAGAATCTGTACATAGCTTCTTGTCTTTTGTATTAAAACTAACCGCTACATATATATGTAAGGTGGACACACTGGCTGATGTTGCGGAAGCAGAAAACTCACTGGTAAAATTAATTAAAAGATCCTGCCCGATGTGTCATGCATTGTGTGTATTATCCTTTTAGAAGCGTTTTTTGGATTTATACACTTGATTGTTAGATGTGGATGACCTATCAAGTTTCATTTTCAAATCCTTCATGATCGATCATAAAATGTTTTGGCGTGAGGAAAGATGTTGTGAGAGGAATAGAACCAATATAAATTCGAATTGCTATATAATTTTTCGGAGGAATAGTGATTTTGTTGTATTAGCAACTATGCACACATTCGAGTTTGTATTTGTTATTACAGCTTACTTTTAGAATTTTCTGACGATATTATATATTGCATATAAACTTTTAAACTAACGGTTTACATATTAGAAAAAATTTGAATTAATGTTTATATTTATTCATTTAATATGTGCATAATTGCTTCGAAAAAAATATATTGCTTATAGAAACACTTAAATTCTAAAAATTAAGGCGTATGAGATTGGAATGAACGTAGTGTAGTATACAAATATGTTTAATATATTAACGATCCTTTCATGGCAACATTCTTCAAGACTTAAATGTTTTCATTATTTCATTTTTATATCCAAGTTGATATTCTTACGATATTCATATATTATTATTCAAAATATTTGATAAAACTATTTTTCGAGTTAACTACTTCATTTTTTGTATTGAATTATTTTGTGCTGATCACTTATCCTAACGAATATTTGGTCAGCACTCAATAAAAATATAAGTAGTGTATCAATAAATAATTCAATGTGCATTCAGAGCAAAATAAATAGGAATAGTTGATTTCAATTACCGCGGAAACTATCATCAAACCACCACAAGCATGCTCTTCTAATAGTTTGCGTTTACTGAAACTAATCATTCACGTTGTTTTACCATATCTTTTTCATAATCAAAATTTATTAGATGTGCCATTTTCTAGACGCGTGGTTTCTTTTGTATAGATGTGTTCTGTATAGACTTTATATGTTTTGATCTCTTTATTCTTTTAAAAATCACCTGAACAAGCGCACAGCAATTTTTGGACATTTTAAATTATTCATCTTGAATCACTAATATAATTTTATTTAAAAAAGAAATTACGCATGAACGTTGAATAATGGTAATGCATCAACTTGCTTCTACAGCTAGTTTTTCAAACTTTTCGATTACATCATATATTGAATTTCCAGTTTATCACCATGTTCATTAAAGCACTGTAGATACAAAACATATCATACTTAATCATTCTTTCGCCACATTCGTTGTCTTCTCTTACTCGTGCTTGTGCTGAATATAGCTTGATGACTTACATGGCACGATAATTTTCCAAAACATGTTTGATATTTGGTAATATTAGACCGACAGATTTATTTGGTCGATTAAAAATTCTTGGTACCTATACATTGAAATACTTAAAATCAAAAACAAACTAAACACAAAATTTGATCAATCTACCAAAGTTGTTTCAAAAACTTAATTTTGTGGATCTTATCATAACCAACTTATATCTTTTTATTTACATGATAATTATTTTTCATATAAAAATTTGGAATGAAAAAAATTATATTATAGTTAGCGAAAGTGTCTTACCCTCTATAAAATACAGTAGCAAGGAAACTAGTAATTATGTCTCGATATATTATCTATGATATTCAGAAGGAAAAATACCATTGTCTTTGGCGCTTTTTATTGAAATGTAATCAATTTTATTTTAATAATATTTTAAAAATGAACTGTTAAAGCTATAAATTGTCGAATTCATTCATATGTATACTTATTATAATATTACAGATTTTCTATGCGTTTAAAATATTCAATAATATGAAAGCATTCGACGATATCACATTAACCCTTTCGCTACGAGAGTGTTTTCCGTAGCACTGCTGAACGAGCAAGCTGTTCATATTCTAAGATTTTTCAAGCATTATCAATAAAAATGTGTATAAAAATTAAAATTAATACTTCAAAAAACTAAAAACCACAATAACACGTTCACAGTAAATTCACCATAATTTAAATCAGAGTGATAAATCTTAAAGCAAAAGTCGACTGAATGTCGTCTCTAATCAAGCGGATTAGTATTTTGAAGCATTCTCCCCAATATTATTATTGAAAGCTTTTCACGAGCTTTTTTCTAAATTTACACACAGCATATTTGCACAAAAGTTTCTTTCGGAATTGTAAGAAAATTCTTTGTATTCTTCAAAGCAGTGGCGGATTCAGGGGGTGGGTTACGGGAGTCATGACCCCCCCCCCTGAGTTTGTCTTAAGACATAGATAGAACACTAATTCAGCAATAACATTACTTCATAATGATTTTATTTATGTATTTTGTTACCAAACACATTTTATAACTTCAATATGCAACTTATTATAGACGAACGGCGGAGTCAAACACTCCTGAAATTTAAGGATTTTCTAACCGTATTGCGAATATATTTTGTATAGATAATTCAATAATGTGACCCCCCCCCCTGGCGCCAAAGCTGGATCCGCCACTGCTTCAAAGCCAAGATAGAAAAAATTGCCTTTATTTGAATTAACATATTTATTTATTGCTTTTTGCTAAATTTTCTATACTTTTTCGTAACATTTTTATAATTAAGTTTTATAAGATTTTTAATAAAAATTATATAATATTAAACCACGACTGCGAATTCTGTTCAATAATAAAGAAATGCAAATTGAAGCATTCAATAGGAAAGCAAAACAGTCTGCATGACAATATCTGAATACCATCAGCCTATTCCTTGATTAGCATCTGCCATAGAAATTTTCAAGTAGAAGCAGAGAGTTTGCTGCTAGAATTGATTTTTTCGTAATGATTTAAAATATCTTATACAAATTAGATTACCTATTATGTGTAATGTGAATTTAAATGGAAAATATATTAATATTTGAACTATAAACTAATGAATAATACATAGAGGAAAAATATAAGGTTTATTTTTACATCTATTTTGTTAAGTAAAACCATTTTTATGCAATATATGCGTATATTGTATATTGTATCATGATTGTATCGTATCTGTAATATAAAACACATCTTTTAATTATATTAGATTCATTTGTCATATTTTCCAAATATTTTTTTGTTTAAAATAAGTTATTTTAAGTTTTACTGTTCTAATGAGTACGACAATTTTTTTTTTTTGACTAAACATTTTTGTCTGATTTTGTGAAATCAGATGAATATTTATATTACAATAACTAGCAGGCCTCGTATAATTTGATAAGTATATGAAATTAAAGATTGTATTATTCTAATAATTAAATAATGGATAATTTTCATCAATTACTATTTGAACGTTTCTATGGTAGAATCCAATTCCCAATTTAAACATTCTGAATTAAGCATCTTAATTTCTATAATTTCATCTAATAATTAGGTTCAAAACATTGTCGATCATCACCATAACGTCGACGTAGCAAAAACAGCGACAAAAGTACGATTTGCCGAACCGGGCAAGGAGCCCGCCAAGAATGGTGACTTGAACGAAGGCGGCGGAGAAAATACACAGGACGTGAAGTCGCCAAGCAAGCAAGATCTACCCAATGGACATGAGACCCCTGAACCCAAACCAGTCGAGGTCAGTTTTAACAATTGCCACGTTATAACTTCGTTAAGGGGCACAACTAGTGTGAAATTTCGAAAAAATCGATTTTTGTTTTTTTCATATCTCGGTAGTTACACTTTTAAAAATAACATATTAAAATTTCAAATCGCTATCTCAAATAGTTTTTGAGTTACATCAATTTAAAAGAGTATATATATACTATATATACTCTTATAGTATAGTATATAGTATATAGTATATATTATAGATATAGTATATAGTATAACGATTATTTTATCTTCAAACGCGTTTTTATCGAAACAGCATTTTCCGAATTTGCTGCAGCGATTACTCAAAAACAAATGATCCAATCACTATCATTTTTTTTTCATGTTCTATATATAGTTCTCCGTCAAATGAACTATCGATTTTTTGATCGGATCAAAAATCGAATTTTGGCAGTCGAAAAACTACTAAAATTTTGGGTAAAATTCGACTTTTCTTTAAACGCCTTTATTTTGTCAATTTTTGATTATTTTTTTATCGTAGTTCATTTTACAGATAATATTATCTAGTTTAATGAGATTTTTTTTTGATTTCATCGAATCACTGCAGCAGTTAAGGGCCTTTTTTGTAGCGCCGTTGGAGATCGACAATAACTTAAAAAATATTTAATTTTTATCTTCAAAAATTTTACTATGTATTTTTAAAACATGTATAAATATATTCCTTAAATTTTGAAATGATTGATAAAGTAGTTTTTTTTAATATAAATTCCCAAAAATCCCTTTTTTTAGGCGGTTACCTAAAAGTAACGGTTGTGCCCCTTAAAGATATGCACTCTATAAAACTTTATTACTAGTGCATGTAGGGAAAACTGGGTTCGGTTGTGCCAGGGTACGGTAGTGATAGTCGACATAAAAGCTAAACTATACTGATTTTGACATAGGTTCTAAAAGAAGAAATATGTAGTATGTTTGTTTGAACGTGTTACCATTATTGCAATCAGTCTGCGCCCTATGAATTCTAAAAGTAGTTCAGTCATTTTAACTAAAATTAGGTAAGAATCTCGGAATTCGAGATACCCAACTGTAAGTTTGTAAATACTCTTGTATATTGACACCCTAAAGTGGTTTCAAAACCTACATATGGTAGGGTGTCAATACCATACGTAGGCTTTGGGACAACTTTAGGGTGTCAATATACAATTATTTACAGAATTACAGCTGGGTATCTCGAATTCCGCGGTGAACTTACTATAATGACTGAACTAAAGTTTTAATTTTTAATTAATTACTTTGTAGACAAAAATAAAATATTTTAAATCCATTTTATACGTTCATATTACATTTACTTTACATTTTATATTACAACAAAAATACAAATTGTTGCGTTTATATATTTATGTATATTGCCATTATTTTTACTCTTTTTAAAAAGTTGTTCATTATCGTACATTTTTTGCAAATAATATTTTGTTATCAGGTCAGTAATTAATATAAAACTATTCTTGAGATGGTGTTTTGTAAATTATGGTGTCGGCCTACAAAATATCATTAAAACTTATGTATTTTTGCACCTTTATATTCACATTACCTCACATATATATAAAATGAATCCAACATTGAAAAAAACTATTAACAGAAAATAAACTATTTTTGGCTCACCAAGTGATAATTGTAAATATAATAAAGGACGGAGATGCGGCAACGTTAATACGTAAACAAATACAAACATACTTAACAAAACAAATATGTCCAATTTCCACAAAAAATTGAATAACGTTGTTAATTTAAACTTAAATTAAACGAGTTTGTTGAACTCGAAAAATGATCAAATATTTTTTATACATTATCATCACATCATATTTGATTTCGTTCATAATTATCACTTGACATTTGAACAGAATTGCGATGAGCCTAAAGAAGTGCCGAAAGAAGTAGAAGCTGCAGCTGAGGAGAAGCAGAAGGAAGCAGCGGTGGAGGAAGAACAACAAGATGACGATGAAGAGGCAGAAGGAGACGATGGCGATAACGTCACGGGACGATCTAAGACAAATATCACGCTGTGAGTATTGCAGATTTCATCGATATATTAAATTTATTAATGTAAATTTTGTTTTACGCACTACATGTTCATATTTAATAAGGTTTATTACGATAACAATATAATCCTGAGATAAATGTAGCAAACTTTGTAGGATTTTTAACTTTGTTTTATCATTTTTCTATATTTCACAGGGACGAAGGCAACGTGCGTCGTATGCACACGGCGGTCAAGCTGAACGAAGTGATTGTGAACAGGTCCCATGACGCTCAGCTCGTTATTTTGAATCTTCCAGGACCTCCGCGCGATACGAGAATGGAACGCGAGAGCAACTGTATCCTTTTAATTGCAAACTTAAATAATAAAATGAATAAACTAGCTGTAAGTGGAATTCTGTCTTAAGGCAATAAAGGCATCGTGCCTTAAGGCAAATTGCTGGAACTTTCCGTACCAAAAATTATTATTTTTTTAAAAACGATTAACATTTTTGAAAAAATTTTACTTCGAAAAAATAAGATTTTTGAGAAACTATAAATTGGACAAAAAATTACTTTTTTTTTGAAAAAAAAAAAATTTAATTTTTTTTTTTAAATTTTTTTTGAAAAAAAATGCTTTCCTTATTTTGACATATTTTGAAAGATCTGAACTTTTTTCAAAGCAATCGTACTGCTTTAACTGCATAGAGACATAATATAAAGCGCGTAAGCGCCGCGTCGCTGTCTAACGGATAAACATTGGTACGGAACCCATAGGAATGTAAACAAAATCAATACTTATTGTTAAAATCTCTATAAAATATCTGATAATTTGATGTGCATATGTCTAATGATCATTTTTGACCGTCAAATGGCATTTTTTTTACTTTTTTTTGTTAGATCTCCGAAACCACTACACCTGCCCTTATGAAAATTTGATCAATTCTTCATCTTGTCAATACAAGTAAAATGTTTTTTGAATTATTAAAATCGGACGCTCCGTTCTCTTAAAAACTGAGGCACCGTTTTTGGCACTTTTTGCCCCATATCTTCGGAACGGCTAGACCTGCCTCCGCCAAAAACTAATCACACGTCTCCTTATCAATACGAATCGAATGTTTTTTGAAATATTCAAATTGCTTCATCTGTGTTCCCGAAATCGACGACGAAAATTTGTATCCACACACACATACATATACGCACACACACACAAACACATACACACACACACACATACATCCATTTTTTCTAAGGTATGCCAAAATATTCAGAAACCTCTGAAACGTAAAGATATATAAAAATTTTCATTTTCGTTTTTTTGCGATTACTATAACTTACCCTACGGAAAGTTAATTAATTTATAAAGGGCTTTCGTATGACTCGAATAGAAATGATATAATCAATCGCATTTAAATTTTATTCATCAGCGAAGTTTGAACTAGTTACTTGACATCGTTACTTGCTAGAACTTCCCGGAAAACTGCTGAGACTTCACGTACCGTATTTTAATAGTTTTGAAAGCATTGAAAAAAACGACTTTTTGTTAACAATTTTGCAATTCGATAGAAATTTTTGAAGTATTAGTGAGATTGGAATTTTCTAAAAAAAAATTGACTTAAAAAAAAGATTGTTGTTTCAATCTACAAATTCAATATACAAATATGTATATGTTTTTGTTATTAATTTTAATAATATTGCTAATACAACATTAATAATTCGGTAGCAAAACATAAGTATGATTATAATTTGTTATACTGGATAAAAGTTCTAAAAATTAAATTATTTTTTGATATAAATATGATAGTTGATTGATATTGAAATTATTTCTTAGTAATCATGCAGCATTAATTTTGCATATAAATTCAGTTTTGGTACAGATTTGGTCAAGGTGTGGATTATTTATTACACAGGATCAAAAGGGCTTATAAAAACATTTGATATTAATTCAATCAGATATTTTGTATTAATACACTACTTACTCATATTTTTTTTCAAACAAGGATAAAATTTCAAGAGCTTATAAGTTTGTTAGTTATTGTATGATATAACCTTGAGAAAGTTACATGTAAAATGATTTGAAAAACATCCTCTTTTATAAGACATGGTTCTATGTTTAATAATTTTTATTTGTCATTATTTTCCTTATATCACATTATTAATCAATAGACATGGAATTCTTAGAAGTTTTGACTGAAGGCCTCGAGCGTGTTCTGATGGTGCGCGGAGGTGGACGGGAAGTAATCACCATCTACTCATAATATGTTATCATCATAAGTGCGTGTTGAAAACAACTAGAAATATCTATATATTGGACTAACAAGCAAATTAAGAAAGTGTCATATTGAAATCAATTAGAAATTTAAATCAAGGAGCAAAACCTCTGTTTACGTTACTTTACATTGGGAAAAAACTATGTGGTGATGAAACAAATTATTATGTTTTCATATGCAGAAATATTCACACAATTTTTGGTGTGAGCGATGATGTTAATTATTTACATTTGTATGTTAAAAGCATATTTTACACCGTTACTCGCTGAAACGAATCTACTTGTCTACTGTATAATGTGTACGAGAATATGCAAGTATCAATGAAAAATATAAAAGTGTACGAATAAATTATTAATTTTACGCGGCTGAAATTCATAATGTTCTCGATGACTAATGCAAGAAAAGAAGTGAACATATTTTTTGAAGAAAATGCTTTTTTCATATTTTTTAAAACCTATTTTTATTGACAATTGGTATATATTTAAACTGATGAGATTATTTTTTTTAAATAAAAAATAAACGATTTAGTTTATTTATAACATTATGAAATGAAATAATTGCTGGAATAATATATACCTTAATATTGATACGTGTGTTGAATATACACTTGAAACGTTTAAGGAAACCAAAATATGAAACAGTCAAAAATGATTTCTATTTGGTTTAAACGACGCTTAAACTTTATATTGCATGCAATAGCACGCGTAAATCGAATTAATCAATTTAAAACGCATCATTTTTAACTCGAGTAATTTTATTAAAACTAATTTTGGTGTAATAGTAAAAGGCAACTGTAATTAATGTCTTCTAGTAAGTTATAGGTAACTTAAGATTTTTTTTTAGAAAATATTAATCAAACTCGATTTTCGTGGCGATTCTGCGATTTAATAACTACGTAAAAAATCTTATACAATTCTTTAAATCAATGTTAGTAAATACGTAATTGAAAATTTTACGCTCAGTTTTGTATATACAAATATAAATCTATATCTGGTATAAGATGCGCTATTTGTATATGAATGTTAGATTGTAAAACAATTTTAATACTATAGTGTATACATGATTTTATTAAGAAAATTCTTCAGTATTAATTCTTATGAACCATATTGAATTAAGTTTTTTTTATTGTTGTGCATAGTATTTGAAGACTTGAACCTTTTTTTAGAAAAATAGGCGATTTTAGTACTTTAATGTCTTAAAAGTTGATTATTTTTATTTCAAAGTTAAATATGTGTTAATATAATGTTATATCAACTTAATTAAAAATTATTTTATTTATTTTGTCATTTTTATTTTAGTAAATTTTTGTAGAGTAAATGAATTTTAAATATAATATAAATAAATCTTATATCTAAATAATCGTGAGTAGTGAAAACAATCTTATGAATTTGACAAATTTATTTTATAAAACAAACGATAAAAAATCTGAAATTTAATAAAAGAGTAAATTTTAAAAAATGTTTTAAATCGCTGTCGATATTGCTCAAAAAGCAATACACTAGCATATATTAAACGGATTTACATTTCATTTGTTAAGTTTTATTAAATAAAGTATAACATAATGTAGAATAATTTAAATTGTCTCATGATGTTTTCTCATATGACGCAATTTTAATGGCCAAAGATTTTATAAGAACATACAGAACAACGGCAGATTATAGTTGATAATAATAGCCCAATCAAATACACTTGCAATAAGTGCAACAATATTATTTGAGTGTTATTTGAATTATTAAGTTCTACTATCCTTTGAATATATTATAAATTCATAAATTTATATTAAAACTATCAAATACTGTAGCAGTTTCTTTCTATATAAATATATTAATATATATTTTTTTTATAAATGTAGAATTATAAATGCGCATAATCCACTGCGATATTGTTATTCTTTGTCTGCTGTGTTATATTTGATAAATTGTTTCAAGAATTTATATTCTTAAGGAATAATGATATTTAACCAGTCTTGCATCGTATTAAATACTAATTTAATGAAAATTATTCGGTAAAAATCTCAAGAAAATCTTGAGAAATAAATTTTTTTGAATTTTTTTGCGAAAATATCGATATTTACCAGATTTGTTAATTTTTTACCAGTTTTTTTAATTTGTTAAAAATCAAAGTTCAGATAAAATTTTATACAAAGTTTTTAGTTCCTTATCGATCATGGTAAAAATTACATTTATCTTAAAAGTTTTGAAAATTGATACGTCTATGAACTGTATAATCGACGGATTGAAACGCGATTACTGATGTGGGATCAGACTATAAATTGTATTCACATGATCAAAATTTATAAATAAAAATTTTTACCATATTCTCGTAACATCTTTGGTATTTCAATTTTGAATATAGAAGATAATTTAAAGGTATTCATACTAATTGCACAGAATTTACAAACCAAATTACTTCTTTAAGTTTGTGAATGCTTGAAACTATTTAAACGTATTGTTAGTTTATACTGTTATATTAATCATATAATGATTAATATTTTTCACTTTATTAAGTGGATGAGACTGAAAACAGGCTCCTGCGATATGGAAAATTAAAACAGTGCAATGTTGTATATGCTCAAAGAGAATGTAAGGCAAATAGAGACAGGTTGACAGGGCCGATTAAATTCTTCTTATATTAAAATAATCTGGATAGTGGCAGGCATATATATTTTCAAAAACTTAGTTACACAGTGTCGTCTTCTATCATAGGCATATTTTAAACTAACTGATTCACTAAATAAAATTACAGCCGAATAAAATAAAGTTTATTAAGATCGGTTAATAATATAGATATATTCGCGATTCTGCAGTGTGAATTAATCGAGTCAGAAGTTTTTCATTGAAAATATAGTACGTAATAAAATTTTGAAATAATTATATAGTCGTAACTATGTTGTATGGATTCTTAATTTTGAAAAACTTGCCAAATATTAGAAAAATAGTCAAATTTTGTCTCACATCGCTTGTGCATATGCAACGATTGTTATTATTATTTTTATAGTGTTATAAAAATCTATCTCAGAGATTTATTTAATAGAGCATTTTTTCTATTCTCGTTAAATTTAAAATTTTATAGTCTATGTCCAAATAATGTTCATATATTTTTGAAATGTAAATGCATAAGTATATAAGTATATTGTTTCGTGCAAATTTCAATGGCCCTCTGTAGTTACCAAATTTATAGAAAAAAATCACTCTTGGGGCAAATTTATTAAATAATTATTTCATATATTATTTTATATATGAAATAATTATTATGACAACTTTGATATGAACAATTCCTCTTCAGCCGAACGCATTTAGAAGCAATACATTTTTTTATTGATAATAACGAAAGTTACAAAGTATATTGTATATTGAAAATTTGCAAAAAATATATTTAAGGAATAAGAATCATAACTAAATGTCAAATTATTAAAAAGCGTGATAGACCTATTAATTAAAATATATATTAGAAAAATACTATATATAGACTAAAGTTAGTGCGTCTAGTTTGCTTAAACAAAAATAAAGCATATAAATATTCATTATTGTAAAAATTACATTGTGTCATTTTTTTATGGTAAAATATGAATGCTTATCATGATAAAAAAATTTGTTAACAATAATGATCAACACCAAAGATATTAGTTGCTTTCGTAGTGAGTTATAAAATAAATTATCGTACGTCAGTTATAAAATTTATTACCTAACAAATTGTGCCATTTTGTTTAATTGTTTTACAAAAGATGGTTTTGTGTTAAAGAGGAAATTGTATTGTTATTTGTATTTAGTTTTAAATTGGATTTATACTTTATTTAATTTTATTCTGCAATCTGTTGGATACAAACATACGAATAAAAAACCTGTATTTGCAATACTGCGTATTTGTTTCATACAAGAATTTTAGTTTGAGTGAGAAAACGACACGAAAATTATATTATTCTCAAAAATGAATCCTTATTTTTTACGTTCTCATTTTCTTCTGCCAAATACCATATAAACAAAATGATATACTGCCAATTATATAATCATTATATATATATATATATATATATATATATATATATTTAACGACACAAATGTATCCAATAAAAATTAAAGAATGGATTTATATCAAGTTTCTATCAAGTACCTTGTTCTTATCGTGTAAATTTTAGACGCTGGTTAATTGAAAAAAAGCTTATACACAAATGGCCATTGAGAGAATATAACTATATTTTTGTTTAAAGCAACTAGAAGCACTTATATATTGAATAATTATATATTAGTAATATGAGATTTGGAAATATTATTAGATGCCTAAAAATTTTCGTGAAATCGATGTTTAGTATTTCGTGCTATATTGATACTAGAAATATAATATATATTAAATATACAAATATATGATAATTTAGTAATATTATATAACAAGATGATTAGATAATTCAATTCTATATCGACGATATTCCAACATAACATACGCAACATATATATATATATATATATATATATATATATATATATATACATATATATATGTATAATATTTATATATTTATATATATTTATATGTATATATATATATATGTGTGTGTGTTTGCATTTGTAATCTATCTTGGTAGATTTATAATTGAAATATCTAATCTGAAACTTTTAATCATATATTATGGTTAGGCCACGCTTGCTCTAATCCCAAAATTGGGACTCTGTGATCAGTAAACATTAGTCGATTTTTTTCACACAAACTATAGCGAATTTTTCTTTAAATTTAACATCAAAAGTCTCTAAAATGCACACGATATATAAAATGTTATAGGCTTTCCTTAGATATATAATATTTATTTTTAAATACATTTATAAAGATCCGGAGAGCAACGAATTGCAAAATCGATTCTTTAATTTCACTTCTATTCAATTTCTATGTCGCGTGTTTCGTTTTTCGTTTGCTGTAAGTAAATACGATTAAGTTACCACTTTAATTGTATATTAATTACTTTGATGTCATACTTTTCTAATTGACTTTTTATTGATGCAGCTATGAAAAATTGTCTATTTATAGTATTCTTTGGTATTAGGTTTGTTAATCTACAGTTTTTTGTTCCAATAAAAAACGCTAGGTAAATGTTTTTTGACAGCATCGTCTTGCGTTTATTATATCACATAAAATATATTGATTTTAATGAATTTTGTAAATATTGTATAGCAGATTAGTATAAGCATTTTTATTAATCAGTATCGACTGTATAACGGTTATATACTGAAAAAAGTTATTAAGCGACGCAATACAAATAATTGTATTTTTTACTGTTTAGTTTAGATTGCATTTTGAATTCAGATTATATTTAATACTAATTGTTAAATTAATATTTGCTTTGTCATCAGTTATTTCTAATTCTTTTCGCGGTATATTTGAAAACCTGAAGAACGCACCTCACATTAATATGAGAATTTTGACAAAACCAGTAATGTTGAAAAAGTCTTATTTACTAGCAAACAA